CCGCAAAAAAAAAAAAAAAAAAAAGAAAAAAAAAAAGAAATCATACATGGATTTTGAACAACTTGTGTTTTGGTTGGGCTGTTTATAAAGTTTTGGGAATAACAATAATACCTTATAAACATGAAGAAGGTTATATTAGCTGTTTCCTCATTTCATCAGAATGAACTGCTACTGCTTACCTCAGTTCAACATCCTACCTAGTAACTAATAACTAAAATGGCAAAAAGTTTACCTTTTCCTATACTACACATGCAGTCACAACTTTTAAAGTTGTCCAGCAGCTTTAGAAAATCTTGGGATTTTACTGTTTTTTTCCACCAAATATTTACAGGTACTGAGTGCCTTTTATTTGCCAGATATCCTTCTAGGGATTCATTGGCAAACAAGATAAGTCTAAAATCTTCTCCCTCCTGATATTTTATTAGTCCAGCAGACATTTATTATCCTTCTCTTATGAATTGGGCCTTGTGCCTAGAGGATCCAAGTATAAATGAAACCAGATTCCATCCCTTGATAGTGTAGGGTTGTATTTTTTGCAGTCAGGATTTTTTGTTTAGATATACATATGTGTCGGGGGGACATCAGAACAATTTATTATGTCTGTTTTTGTATGACTGAAAAATAGTATATTATAGTTACGTAAATACATAATTTCTGGCCTCCAGAAAGATGAGGTTTCTAAGTGGCTACTTTATTTCAGCTGAAAGATAAGGGAATTTTGCTTAGATCTTCTCTCTTTGTAGGAAAAAATCACATTTCAATCTGAAAAAGTAACTATTAGCTCTAAGGCACTTGTCAAAAGCAATTATTTGAATTGCTTTACACTATTGTGACTAATTTAGAAAATCTTTTGAGTATGATTTAAGGTTTATTTCGATTTTACAGGGAAATGGATACTGCAAGAACACCATTGAGTGAAGCTGAGTTTGAAGAAATCATGAATAGAAATAGGGCAATCTCAAGCAGTGCTATTTCAAGAGCTGTGTCTGATGCCAGTGCTGGTTTGTATATTTCTTTCTGTATTAACATTTCTTATTTATGTTATTAGGAATGACCTAAAAAGTACAGTCTTGAAGATGGGTCATCTACATGTAGTAGTTATTTTTATATTTACAAATCATTACCTATAGTTTATTTAAAAGGCATTGAAGGGAACTGTATGTCACAGTGTAGTGGGAAAACCCCTAATTTAAAATTTTTAGGTGTAAAATTAAATATTAGCCCTGACATTTAATGGCTCAGGGACCTTAAGGCAGCTCGTTTATTCTCATATTTGCTAAATGATTATGTGTTTTACACAGCTATAATAGTAACAAATGGTGTTAACTTCATGTACATTAAAGCCTTTCAGAATGGTGAAACTCTGAAAAAAATTAAGACATCTTCTGTAGTGATTTTAAAGTGCATTCCTTTTGTAAAATGGTTGCCTCAAATGGTTTGGTGGTATTTTGAAAACAAAATTTATTTGACTTCGGCCCCTCTCCTTCCACTCACAGGTGATTATGGGAGTGCTATTGAGACATTGGTAACTGCAATTTCTTTAATTAAACAATCCAAAGTATCTGCCGATGATCGTTGCAAAGTTCTTATTAGCTCTTTGCAAGATTGCCTTCATGGAATTGAATCCAAGTCTTATGGTTCTGGATCAAGGTAAAACTTTCCTGTCTCATGTCTATTTAAAATTGCTGCTTTGCAAATAGAAAAAATACTGTGTTTGGGACTTTATAGGACTTTGATTTTACTTATTACTGTTTACTTAGCAGCTAGTGTGATCTTGTTGTTGTTTTTGTTTAAACCCTAAATCAAATGTTAGGTGTTTGCTTGCTTAAAACCCTTCAGTGGCTTCCAGTTATTCTTAGAATAAGACTGTAAATACTGAAGTGCTGTGTGATATAGTTCTACCTATCTTTTCAGCCTCACTGTACCTCTCCTCTGGCTCACTGTTCTCTCGCCACATTGGTCTCCCTTCTCTTCTTGACACATCAAGCACTTGCCCACCTCACTGTTTTGTTTTGGGGTTTTTTTTTGCGGTATGCGGGCCTCTCACTGTTGTGGCCTCTCCCGTTGCGGAGTACAGGCTCCGGACGTGCAGGCTCAGTGGCCATGGCTCACGGGCCCAGCCGCTCCACGGCATGTGGGATCTTCCCGGACTGGGGCACAAACCCATGTCCCCTGCGTCGGCAGGCAGTCTCAACCACTGCGCCACCAGGGAAGCCGCACCTCACTGTTTTTGTAGTTGGTATTTATGCCCACCTTGCTGTTTTTGTACTTAGTATTTCTTCTGCTGGGAGTCCTTTTCCTTGGCTCTAATAGCTGGCTCCTTATCCTTCATGCCTCAACTCAATCTAACTTGCTAAGAGGGGTCTTCTCCCAGGTTATTCTGTCATGTTCATTCTGTTTGTTTTTCATAATACACTACAGTCTATTCTTATTTGCTACTAATGCACATTTTTTTTCATTAGAACACATCGAAAGATGGAAAGGACCTTACCTGTCTTGTTCGCTACAATATTTGTAATGATGAAACAGTGCTTGGTACAGATTGGGTGCTAAATAAATATTTCTTGAACAAAGGAGTTAATGAATAATCTATTTCTTAGTATTTTTATTTTAATTAGGCAGTTCCTTTTTTTGGCATTACTGCTAACCTTGAGATTTTACGTATTTTCAAAAGGTAGATCTTTAACCTTGACATGATACTTTCAGGTCTTTAGTGTACTTTATCTAGTGGTAGAGTTGTCTTCATTAAGTTAGGAAAAGAGAGCTTGTCTTTGTCATAGTTCCCAACTTTATAATTATTACCTTTTTGACCCAGTATAAAGATGTTTGGACCTGAACACATTTGTCATAGCTGAAGACCGTATCTTATATAGTCTTCTTTTAACTATTTAAGTCCAGAATAATAACTTCTACTTTGATCACAGGCTTAGCACTTAATAATGTTTGCTAAGTTGAGCTGTCTGGTGCAGAAATACAAAATAGAGATTAAACTAATAGCCAGTTGTTATTTCCTTGTTGTGAATTGCAGAATTTTGAATAGTAGGATTTCTAAGATACATACTTTGGTTAAAGTACCTGTTTTTTGTTGTTGTTTTTAAAGGCAGTTCATGAAACATTTCTCTTTATTAAATAAAAATGAGAATAGTATCTCTTTTCTAGTGGTCATGTTTACTAAGTTTCTTCTCTGCTTCCCACCATGCCCCTCAGCACCACCACCCCGCAAGCATACCTACGTGTATATTTCATTAGAAAGTTTCTTAGTGGGGTAACACTCATGATGAACCATATTATGGCTAGCTTTAAATGTAAAAATTGATATTTACATATAGGTTAGGTAACCTGTATTAATGGGTGGTAGTTTTATGTATTTAAGTCTCATTATATATTGAGTGATTTCATGAATTTTGTGTCTAAAAAACTACCTTCTGTATGTTCTTTAGCTTGAAACACAAGTCCTTTGAAATTTTCTCTCCTTTACCTTTCTGCTTTTCGTTCAGTAAATACTACATGTCTGTTTTAGGCTGCTAGTTATAATAGATGTAATAGATGATATGGTGTATTGCCATGGTGTGTCTGGTTCCCAATTTTTATTTATTTATTTGGCTGCGCCGGGTCTTAGTTGCGGCACGTGCGATTTTTAGTTGTGGCATTCGGGATCTAGTTCCCTGACCAGGGATCAAACTCAGGACCCCCTGCATTGGGAGCGAGGAGTCTTAACCGCTGGACCACCAGGGAAGTCCCGGGTGAAGGTTTTTAAAAATGGGATTTCTAGTTCATGCTTGTATATGAGTAAATCATTATTGACAGTTCAGGATATTTTAGTTTAAATTATATTTATAAGTTATTTTTTGCCTTAGGTATTTTTAAACACCAAAATATTGAATATCTTTTTAAGCTATCTAATTATGGAGAGCATTAATCCAGTAATTTCTTTTAGAAGACGTGAACGATCAAGAGAAAGGGATCATAGTAGATCACGAGAAAAGAGTCGGCGTCATAAATCCCGCAGTAGAGATCGTCATGATGATTATTACAGAGAGAGAAGCAGAGAACGAGAGAGACACCGGGACCGGGACCGGGACCGCGATCGAGAGCGTGACCGAGAGCGCGAGTATCGTCATCGTTAGAAGGTGGGTATTCCTTGTTCCTGTTGTATTTAACATATGTATTATTAACAGTAATTATAACTCCGAGGCTATTGTTTATACAGTATATACCCACATTTTACATGGTTCAACTACTTGTTCTGAATTTAATCTTCTGGAAACATCTGAGATAAATGACAGGTGAGTAATAACAGGTAAACATTTTGACCTCTTATCCTTGAATACTGTGTTGCTTGCTTGAGTTACAGCTTTTAGGTTTCAGGTTGTTAATGGTCCTAAGAAATAATCAAGAGGACTCATTGTCTACTTCTAAAAATCTAAAAATTGGAATTCTCTTAATCACATACATAGTTTGCATGTGATTTAAAATATAAAATATAGGGAGTTAATTCATACTATATATAATATGCTTGGACTTCAAAAAATAAAGTTTCTTTCCTTGAACTAACTTTATTTATCCCTAAAAATTTTAAAGAAAATATGACAGTATAATAGTTTATAATACAGGAAGAATATAGGAGGGTGGTTTCTCAGCCTTGAGAAAAACTTTTTTTTTTTTTTTTTTTTTTTTTT